TAGGGGGGTTCATTTTGCTTCAACTGTTCTCTGCATTATACACATTCGTAAGAAATGTGGAGCATGGCATATGTGGGACTTCTCAAGAAGAGGCCCTGTTAGCAGGAAAGTGCTTCAGTACGTGTAACTTCATAACCTCTTAACGTACTGGAGCCTTCTCATCCTGAGCATTGCATCACTTCGGGCTGCGTTATATAGGTAAGCAGTAGACAGCAATGATTTTAAAGGATCTTGTAAGGGTATACAACTCTTGCAGTTCAGAAAATATTTGGGAACATACATATTTAGGGTTCCAGGCTGCATAGCTTGGTGCCTTCTGTATCTGAAGAGTAACGAAGGCCACGAGGACAATTAGCAGGAGCAGAGGGCTAATAAATCTCCATGTAATCTGCCAGTAGAGATTGGGTTTTCTTCCAGTCATCCATTTCACGTCTTTACTGAACCTTTTAAGAGGAGACATGTTTATGATGGTGTCAGATCTAAGTGGTAACAATTTCATGTTTTTAATTTTTTTCTATAAGTTTTAAATAAAGAAGGGTATGGAATAGAAAAGATTTATGGATGTGTACCATATGTTTAAGTCTATGATAAGTTATTAAATAATAGCATCAATGAAGTAGTTCTTTATTGATCCTAACCAGGGATGAATGATCAGTTTCCATTGTTAGTTTACATTACCTTAGCACCTAGTCTAACGTTTCTAAACACAAATAGGTGATGAAAATATTGCAGCAGTTCTGTAGAACTATTCAAACATCTAAAAAAGACAAAATTGCCAAGGAAACTAACATAGCTTGTTATTAAGAAGACTGAATTAACTAGCACCAAATGAATCAAATCAGGTTAGGGACAAAATTTTTTACAACCTGAGCCAGCTTCCTCTGCAGTTGGTACTGGCAGTCATTTGAACATGGAGCTGATCTTTTACCTGTACCTCTTACAGTTTTGTACATTGAATGGGCAGTAGATATATGGTTCTGGGTTTGATAGGTACTTGAAAATCTGTATCTCTCAAGTTGGAGAGGGTTTTGGAATCTGAAATAGGACTTGTGATTTGTGTGTGTGTGTGTGTTCAAACACCAGCTTTGTCTTCAATTCTGTTACTCTAACTGAAGATACTAGAAATTCTCTTGAGAACTAGGAAAAAGTGATTTGACTATGCTCATATCCCATAGTAGCAAAGAGGAAAAAGAATATGTATACTAGGACAACAGAGAAAATACATGTGCAGTGGAAGTCAGTCTGTTGTAGCATGTGAAACCAGATTTTGTTGCTACTTCTGCATCATGAAGACTGATGCTAGCTGTATGTGCAGCAAGAGGGATGTGTGAAATTGTTTATGATGATACAGCCTGGGAGTTATCACCATTTAACATGTGAAATGCTCCAAGGGTCTTAACAGTGAATCTAGAAAATTTAATGCAGGAACTTTAGCTGTAACTGAGGAATATTTTTCTTCAGCTTCTTATTTTTAAAATTATAGCCTCTGTTAAGACTTAAGTTGGGGTGGTACTGAAACACCTTGATATGCAACAGCACTGGCTGAATGTAAGTTCATTGTTCATACGATATGCAAACTGATCCACAAGATATCAGGACCTTCGTAATCCAAGTGTCAGCGTAACAATTGGAGATAAGGTTTCTGGCACTTACAATTACAAAGGATGTCAGAAAGTTTTTAAACTAAAGAGTGGATTTAATTAGTGTGTGTAACTGCAGAGATTCTCAGCAGGCAGGTTGAGCCTTTTAATATGGGGGAGCTACTGCATTTTGCTTACTATGAAGTTTGAGGGGGGAAAAAAAGGGTAAACAAAAAATACAAGAGTACACAAAACAAAAGGGCAGTAACAGGAGGATATTTGAAAGACAGTGTAACTCCTCTTGGCCAAAGAACTACAATGGCTGTTGACTTTCTTAAACTTAGGATCCCCCCCTTCCATAAGTCCTATGCAGAGATTATCCCTCCTGTTTTACAAGTACAGGAGAGTTGAAGCAAAGAATGATACCTACATTCACAGAGCTGGTAAGTGCTGCAGAAATAAGTTAATATTGTATACCTGTATGCAACATACATGGATTGAGAGGAAAATGCATTTACCTCTTAAGAAAAAAAATCCATCTGCTTCCAACTTACCTTTTAACTTTATAGACATATGCAACCCCAATCACTTCAAAGAAGGCGATGACTAGAAGAGCCAACGAGCCTGAATAGCTGTCAAAAATGTCAATCCAGTAACTCCCTGAACCCAGTGTAAAACACAGAGCTATGAGGAAGCACATTAGACATATTATACCTGGAGAAGAAAAGGTATCTTTGTTACTGGAGTACTGAACTGAACTTGGTAAGTATATTTTTGTTCTAACTTATTTTTGCTCTTGTTGTAGTGATTTTTATTCTCTCTCCCTCTAGGGAGCTCCAACAAACTGTTTTTTCTTAGGGGAGCTAATGTTACTTCCCAAATTCAGTTTTCCCCTGTGTGTTGGCCAACAGGCACCACTCTGTTGCAGGAGGAATGCATTCGTGTGACTCAGAGCATCCTTCAGTTGTTCCAGTAGGCAGCCTGGGCTGTGCTATGATACTGCCTTATGTTAATTTTTGAGTTGTGTAGTGAGTTTCAAGTGCCCTCATTTCCATACGGTCATAGGCTCAAAGCACAGGCAGACGGCTCCCTGGATTTCTGCTCCCCATTTCCTCAAAGGGCCCAGAGCTACAAATTTATATGTCCCTTATGTCCCAGCGTGTGTGGTTTAGGTTTCACCACACTTCTGTACAGTCAGTTCCCCTTTAGCCAAGATATGGATTTCAGGTAACTGAGAGAAAAAAGTGGGAAGGAGAGACAGTGTTGCTGGATGCAGACATGGGCTGAAAATCAATTTGTATGTCCTTGTGCTGTGTTACTAATTGCTTCTGACTCTGAGATGGACTTTGGTTCAATGCTGTGTAAAATGGGCTTCAGACTTTTTTTTTTTAAAAAGATCAGAATTGGAAAATCAATTTCAAAATAATATGGTTACCTCATCAAGTTGTAAATAAATCATAGAATAATAGAATCATAGAATGGCCTGGGTTGAAAAAGACCATAGTGATCATCTAGTTTCAACCCCCCCGCCATATGCAGGGCTGCCAGCCACTAGACCAGGTTGCTCAGAGCCTCATCCAGCCTGGCCTTGAACACCTCCAGGGATGGGGCATCCACAGCTTCCCTGGGCAACCTGT